CATATTGAGTACTTGGTCCTACTAGGTAATAATTTTGAAAAGTTAGTACCAGGGCTTTCATATGTCACAGTTGTATTTTCTGTAAAATGTGAGAACTTTTTTAAATGCCAAAGTTTTAACCCTGGAGTTGACTTGCATTTAAGAAACAGCAGCCCTCTTTTATACTGCCAACAAACACGTTATGTCTTAATCGAGTAACTGGCAGCTATTCTTTCCAAAGCTGTGCATGCTGTTTGATAAAATCTTTCATATTTTATATTTACAAGTATATTCCTGGCAAGGATCGTTACCGTCTTCTGGGAAAAGACCATTTAATTATTTTCCCATAGAACTCCATACAAACCTTAGGCCCTCTCAGTACTTTACTATGACAATTTCAGAAAAATCTTTAGCATCATTTCAAACTTTGTTCTAAGCCCTAACAAAAAATACTGAAAAAAATATATGGTCCCATTGCGTTTATAGGTCAAAATTGCAGTTATTTTCAACTTATAGAGATTCGCAGTAAATAACACGCGACATAAAAAATCAACCCCCACTCCTAAAATCTTCCCTGGTATTTCTATAGTTTCTGTAATATTCCCTCATCCCATCATTTATTTCAAAGGTCATTAATTTTACTTTAAAATGAAAACAATTAAATACCTGATTTCAGCCAATGGCGTAACGCCTACCCATTCAGTAGTCGGTTTAATGTTCCATAACAAACAAAGCCATGTGTTCATCCGGGGATTTGGTGCTCTCATTCCTATACTTACATACTTACCTGTCCCAGAATTAGTCAATTGGGGTAATTTCAAAGACTATACACCTACCTGTGAACATGTATGAAATTTGAGTCCTGTGACTTCAGTGTATTGGATACTGTGACCATCTCAAATGATGACACCTTACTGCTACCAGCACAGTTCAAAGGAGTGAATGACGTCTGGGCCGGTGATGATATTTGGATATCTTGGTGACTGTAATAAATAAAATATTTGTACAATGAATTGTTTTTGTGTTTTAATGTTAATAAAGTGATATTAAGTCAAAATTGAGTCAATAATTTCATAAGGGTGGATTCTACCCAGAATTAGGTAAAAAGCTCCAAAATTGGATAAATCATACATAATTAAGCAAAATTCAAAATTTTTAAAAAAGACTGAGATAGAATTTTTTTTATGCTTATGCAAAGTAAATTATTTAAGACTCTGATATACTAATTGATTCTTATCTAATCCCTCCTATTGCTTAAGTATGTACAAAAAAGTTTCCCCACCCCCCAGTGAAAAACACTTAAAGAAATAGCGGGTGCCCCTTTTATTTTTCTTTACAATTAATTTAGACAAGAGTAAATCAATCCTTTTGATAAAAATCAAAGTTCAATATCTATAGTCTTATACATTACAATCAGAAGCTACTTTTTGAATTTCATGCTAAGAAAAGAGAATTTAAATAATTTTTTTAAAAATTAAAGAAAAGCAAAAACTAACTTCAACCCCCAAAATGTACTATACAATAAGAGGCTGGAAAGTTAATAAATAAAAAATTTACCTGCAATGTACAGAAAACTGTCCGACAAAATACATCGGGTGGGTAGGGAGTCTCCATTTTCTTCTTATATAGAGAAAATGCCCCTGCTGATCAGAGACCGAACCCTCCCGGGGCCAAGAAAGCTGAAAGATGAAATTCCTCTAAAGTGCTTAAATGAAAATAAATCAATAAAATTAGTCAAATTAAGCATAAATCATGAAAGAAACAACAATATTTTTCAAGTTTTCTAAAAATTTCCTTAATTACATGTCTTCTACATAGCTAAATGTATGAAAAATGGATCCGCCAAGGGTGGAATACATGTTTTTCAATATTACATATTATTACATGTAAATATAATAAAGGTCAAATGTCATACATGCAGTTCAAGGTCATTACAATAATTTATGAAAAAAAATCAGAAGCCAAAGGTCACAACAGTTAAGATATCATCAAGTTGAAATTCTACCTGTCTGGTCAGCAGGTCTAAGGGAAGTAACTCTAAGTACAAAAACTAGAAACCATTAGAAAGTGAGTCGCAGCGAGTAATTCTGATGAAACTACAAATAGCAAAAAAAGAGAAAACATAGACCTTTGTGTAGCTACAACATAGAAACAACAAAACTACAAATTGATCACCCTGCAGCCAAGAAAGGGGGGGGGGCAATCCCGAGGAACACATACACTACCAAACATGAGATGACAAGACAGAAAATGTCCTCCTTTCACTTGTCCATCACAAAAATTCCTTTTATGTGCCACCTTAATTATTTGAAAAAATGCCAAAAGTGCAAAAGTCCAAGAAACTAAGAAAAAATGAACACCAGGTCACTGTCCTACACTTCCATAATATACACAGATAGAGCAAAACATGATAAATACACAGTCACATGTACATGCAAAATACATACATAAATCTATTCATACATACAATCATTCATCTTAAGGACAATCTAATACATTCTCTTAACTTACCTTCCTCCTTTGACCATGTCAACTGTACAGGCCTTTACTAAATTCTATCTTCTCTTACCCCCCCCCCTTCTCTCTTCAATAGACCCAAATCACCACTAACCCCATTACCGCAGTAAACTAATTCAAATTTTTGCTAAATTTTCTCTCGAAATGTCATCAATCTTCAAATAATTAGCTAAAAATAACATTTCATGACTTTCAAATCACTTTACCATGTAAAAATTGGGGTCTCTATAGGGAAAAGACCACTAATTATTTTCCCATAGAACTCCATACAAACCTTAGGCCCTCTCAGTACTTTACTATGACAATTTCAGAAAAATCTTTAGCATCATTTCAAACTTTGTTCTAAGCCCTAACAAAAAATACTGAAAAAAATATATGGTCCCATTGCGTTTATAGGTCAAAATTGCAGTTATTTTCAACTTATAGAGATTCGCAGTAAATAACACGCCACATAAAAAATCAACCCCCACTCCTAAAATCTTCCCTGGTATTTCTATAGTTTCTGTAATATTCCCTCATCCCATCATTTATTTCAAAGGTCATTAATTTTACTTTAAAATGAAAACAATCAAATACCTGATTTCAGCCAATGGCGTAACGCCTACCCATTCAGTGTTCTGTTTAATGTTCCATAACAAACAAAGCCATGTGTTCATCCGGGGATTTGGTGCTCTCATTCCTTTCTTCTTCTAGCCTTGGGTTGTCATTTTGTTGGTTACTTTGTATACCGGATGTAATTTGTAGATAGATAAAAGTCAAAATAAGATTTATCCGGAATAACTTTGCATAATAAAAGCTTTTTTTTATCGGTTACGGAAAAGGGCGAGCGTGATCCGATTGTATTTAAAAGTTGTGTCCTTTGGTCACAGTCTTTGGATAAAAAAAGACAGATTTTTTGTTTCCTTTTTATTTGTTGTAATTGTCGTGTGAACGGAAAGAAAAAGTGCAACAGTGAACTTGTATATTTGTAGACCCTTAGGAGATGGCTAGCTTTCACATACTTAGCCGTCCTGGTGTATCACTGATCAAAAACGAATTTTAAAAGATGGCCTTACTTCCCATCAACTAAAATTTATTTCCCCTCGAAGCAGTGTGTGGCCATCTGTTTTTTTTTTAATACCATTCACACAAGCTGCATAGTAGCAAGTTCTTTTGAAATTAAGCTGCTTCTTTCAAAGTTGAAAAAAAAAACTTTTACATAAAACATGACCCTATCGACTCCATACTTACATGAGTCAATTTTCAGAAAGTTTACTCATTAACTAAAGAATTTAAAAACAATCAATTCCCCCCAAAAATAAATTGAATTTCTCTCTTCCTCTCTTCAGTTAAGAAAGCAAATGCTTTATGGATTTCACCCCTTTTTTTTTTTAATGTCTGGATTTGTTATGTTTTTCTCAGATGAACATGAGTTCATTCTGCAATGGAAACCCTTTTTCATTTAATTATTGGATTATACAATCTATGTCCCAAATTTATCGTTCATTAAAAGAAGATAAAAAATGTATGCTTTATAGTTCCTTTTATTTCTGTTGTTTCCCTTGAACAAAAATATTGACAATTTTTAGAACAATTTCAAATTTTTTGGGTCCCATCTGAAAATTTTATACTGTTCATGTTTTTTCATACAAACCAAACGTTTATAATAACTGATTAATACATTAGATAGAAAAGAAATAAAATTTATTAAAAATTAGATGAGACAGTATGAATGGTTTTTCTGTGACTAAAAAAACAAAATATTTTGCAAATCAAAGAAAGGACTAGCAAAGCTATATTTTTGTTGAGATGTTTTCGTAAAAAACAAAAAAGGTGTTCACTATTGACTTTTATACACCAGTGTTTGTACTTGTCAATTTCAATGTATAAACCTGAATATCTTAATTTTATCATATAATTTCCATACCTTATCCTTTAAAAAAATCTCTTATTCTACAAATACTGAAATTGCCATAAAAATATTTTAAATATCGGAAAAATAAAAATAATTTACAAACTTTTCTTAAATTTAAATTGCCAACATCTCTCCCAAATAGTGACTACACATAATATGTCAACTTTAATAATGATTTGCATGGAAAGGTACAATCATATTGTATTCAATAAATATTCATTATATAAAAATAAATACACAAGTGCATAAGCCAAAAAATTGATTGGCCTGTTGGAAAAATGACCTTTTATGAAACATCACAATAAAGACATCAGTCACAAGACTATTTTTGATAACTACAATGTAAAAAAAAATATAGAATTTTTGGTGTATTCAATTAATCTAAAATTTGAAAAAAAAAAAATAAAGCACAATAACAGACATCAGTCACAAGACTATTTTTGATAAATACATTGTAAACAAAAATAGAATATTTTGGTGCATTCAAATCAATCTAACAATTTGAGAAATAAATAAATACAAGACCATGATGCTTTTCATAAATGCAGTTTTCACATGATTTTCAGTTTTGTAAGAGGAACTTTTTGTTCCTATCATCACAATTTGGCCTAGGAATGTTGGACTCCCCTACCACTGACCTGTACCCTGCTAAATTTAAGTTTTGTTTTTGGTTGAGGCCCCATGGAGATTCGTCTCCAACAGGATCTGTTCTGGGGGGGCCTTACCTTGGCAGGGTAGATGGGGCGGTCCTCCTTCTTCTTCTGCATTGATGTCAGATAGGAGGTCCACCAGTCCACTTCAGAAGCTGTGAACCTTCCAGTCTCTCCCCACCTAGGGAGATCCCGCCTCATGTCTTCGGTGATGCTGTTGATTTTAAATTTGGCTCACCACATTGGCCCATCTGCAAATCCTGGCACCAAGTCATGAAGATAACATCACGATATCCTCTTGGGAGATGGGCCAGTTTTTGTATGACAGCATCACTCTCCCGGACTTTTGGAAATTTGAAGACATGAGGCTCCTTTTTCCCCGTAAATTCTTCCATGGATGTCATCCCCCTGAAATCCCAGAGATTGTCTAGGTGCTGGACCTCGGGTTTTTGGACAGAAGCTTTTCTCCACCATCTCATGAAGATTGTCAGGTAATGATCTTCTGTGTGTGGGCCTCCCTGCTGATGCAGCTGAACACTGATCAATGTCTTCGTGGGTGTGGCCCACCATCAGGAATGTCAGCTTTATCTACAATGTAAAAATGTATGAATACCACTGAAAGAATTTTAACATAAGAATTTAACATTCTTTCATGTTTTTCATAATATCTAATCAGCTTGTGTGGTTACTGAATATCATACACGGTTCAAGAACAGTATTATCCACTCATAAACATGATAAAGTTTAATTATTAACACCCACTACTCAAACTAAAAAGTCTTCAGTTAAATTGAATTTTTGGGGGATTTTTTAAAGTAGGTCAAGTGAATTCTAATGCGGGTACTTCATAAAGTTTCATGATCAGTGCACAAAATTACCCCTTCATATGTCACAAATATGTTTATATTGGTATTTTTAACTTTTAAGTCAAGGAAGTCAAAGGACAAGGTCAAGGTTCATTAGGTCGGTAACCATGACAATTTACAGATGCCCCAAGCAAAAAATTTTCAAAATTTAAGTCCATATCTCTTACAGTTCTTGAGATACAAGGTGTAACAGATGGACAGTTAGGGGACAAAGACAGACACTCAACTGATAGACAGAAACGGGTCAGAAATTCCCAAGGCAGCTTGCGGTGCACCAAAATATCATTTGTGCCATAACCCACAAATTAAAACTAAATTATATAAATTTAAATTAGTAAACTGTAATTTTTAGTCAATAAATGATGCTAAGTTAAACTTATAAAGAGGTTTGTCAAGAATCGTAACTTTTTTATGTGCAACGTTATGTCTTACCTTCTTAAAATCAGCTTTAACCAGCATTGCCAGGAACATGATAACAAACTTGTTTTTGTTATCCTTTGGGGGGGGTTTTCTGCTTGCAGGTACAATACTGGAGGCAGTGATCCATTGTTAACCTAGAAACAATGTATACAAATTAGCTATTTATTGATATACTTCTTTAAATATGCATATCTTGTACTTAAAACTTTTTCTAATTTTTTTTTCTATTTTTCATAAGCATAATAGGAAGGCCTTGTGCAAGTACTGAGAGATTATCTGACTTAAACTTTGTTTTACTTCTGTTATATGAATTATGATGAAATATTATGAGTTTTGACTTTATTCTGTAATTTTTTAAGGCACAGGATATATATTTTTAAGAGGTAGAAAGAAAATTTAAAAAGGGTACTGAAACTTAGTTCATTAAATAATATATCCCTTGCTAAATTTCCTAAAGTGACCATTCAAAATTTGTGAATGTAACTTGCCAAAAAAACATTGCCTAAAAATAAAAGTCACATCCTCCCATTTACAGTAATAATTTAGTAAAATATAAACATCCAATGCTCCTTCTCATTAGAAAATCATGTCACAATTTTAGACTCTTTTAAATTGGTGACCTAGACCTTTCCAGAATGACCTTAGTCAGGGTCATATAATCTCTCAGATAGATAGAAATATTTCACAAGTAAGAGCTTCCATGAATGTTATTAATCAAAACAGGCATTTATAAATAAGCATGACATATAATCCAAGAAATGTATTAGTAATTTTGGAGAATGATTACCATAATTTTATCAAATTAAAAAAGTCACACGAAATGAACAAAAAATTTAGAAATCCTGTACCCATAAAAGAATTTACAAATAACTTACCATTGCTGTATCTTTCAAGACTAGCATCAAGCAGTTCAGTGTTATGTTACAGTCAGAGGAAAACTGATCCGTCCAGGTATACACATAGGATTTGTTGATCCATGGTTCAAAAAAACCCGTCACATGGTGATAATGTGCGTCAGTCCCTCTACTTGAAAAAAATTTAATATTCATTAGTTTCAATGATAAATGTACACTAATTACAAATGTACCAGATAACAATTTCAACATTATAAATAAATGTGATAAAATGTGTGAGCACATAACAATGTACTGAAACATACTTTGCCAATTCTATTTTCAAATTAATGCATATTTGCTTTCATCATGTTCATTAGTTTCATTAGTACTTCAGGTAAATTATAGAGACTTCATTAATTCAATACCTTGAAATTCTCTGGAAATCTTGGTAAGTTGGTCTTAGATTGATCCATGTTTTATTATCAGACTGGTGTATTTAGCTGGATTCTCGCTCTTGCTTCTGTGCTTGTAGTACTTTTCTCTTGATAATCTAATTTTGGATAAAAGAATAAGATATATTATTTATACAGCACTTGAATTTAATTTTTCCCAAAAAATTTGGGATAACAATTTAAATGTGAAAATATCACAATGTCACAGAGAAAACATCTCGTTCTTTTTTTCTTTTCAAATTACTGTGAACAATCTAAAACTATATGTTGGCAATTTATCATTTTTTTATTTTAGATAAATGTCAAAGTTAGCCTTTATTTCATTCATTATCAGCCTTATATATTTGAAATTACAAATAGTTATTATTAACTTACTCTTGAAATTTCAAATGAATTTTTTACCTTTTAGCCTCAGTCTTTCTTCCTTGGTGAGCTTCTGAGAAAGTGCCTCCCTAAAAGTTGTGCACTCATTTCACTTGGAAAACTTCTGAAACTAAAAGAAAAAAATTTTCAATTCCATGGATGCAACCTTGT